AAAAAAAAAAAAAAAAAAAGACAGGACTGAGGTCTTCATTTTTAAATTATGAAATATTGCTTTATTCTTTATAACATTGTTTTATTTTTAAACAGCTTTATTAAGTATCATTGATATAGAAAAACTGCACATATTAATGTATACAATATAATGAGTTTGTGATTCAGTTTTTTAAATCTCCCAGAGATGGTACTCTATAACCAACTGAGTATGCTTGCCATAGTGTGGCTGAGTGGTTAGGTTTCCTGTCTCATCTATACAGCTGAATCTCCATGCAATGTACTTCCATGGAAGGGCATCCAAATAAATTGGCTAGCAAGGCCTCAGTAAACCAGAAATATGAGTTTTCCATGTAGACTCATTTCACTAAGAGACAAAGTCTGTGGAGCAATAGTTTTCCTTCATAATCCAAACTTGCTTCCAGTTCTGAATGTCCTCTTGTCTATTCAATATTTGCTTTCATGTTTTAGGTGAAGCCAAAAAACTCTAAGTAGCAATGATCTGTTTTGCAAAATACGTAACTTCAGAAGGGCCATTCCTTCCTAGTACTTTTCATTTTGATAAAAATATAGCTTAGGGGTGAATGATTATAAATGTGTCGTAATGAAAAGGGTATGGAACTTTTAGTTTGAAGACTTTGGTCTAAGACATGTCTCTTAAGATTACTAGTTAAAAGATAACAGCCTTCCTACAAAAATTTCCCTGAGCCTCAGTTTCCCCATCTGTAAAATGGAAATAATGCCAATCTCAGAGCTGTATGACATTAAATGAACCAGTGAACATGAAGGGAGTATCTAAGGTAAAAGATGACACATAAAATGGGGAACACGTGAGAGCTATACTCAAAGACTCTTTTTAAACAAAAGTTAATTAGAACTTGCCGGCTTCGATGGCTCTCGCCTATAATCCCAGCACTTTGAGAGGCCAAGGCGGGTGGATCACCTGAGGTCAGGGGTTCGGGATCAGCCTGAGCAACATGGTGAAACCCTGCCTCTACTAAAAATACAAAACTGGCCAGGTGTGGTGGCGCATGCCTGTAATCCCAGCTACTCAGGAGGCTGAGGCAGGAGAATCGCTTGACCCCGGGAGGCAGAAGTTGCAGTGGGCCGAGATCACACCATTGCACTCCAGCCTGAGCAACAAGAACAAACCTTTATCTCAGAAAAACAACAACAACAAAAGCAGACCAAAACAAAAAAACAGTGTATTTAGAACCCAGATCCTTACTTTGTACAGGGGTAAGGTGTGGAACTCCACATGCATTAGAAACTAAACTTGAAGTTCTATCTTTATTAAGATCATTCCTATTGCAACTATTATTTCAAGTCTCTCCAACCTGTAAGAAAAATTCCATCTCTTAGGAAGACTGCACAAAAGAATACACTTTTCTCCAGAGTTTTGTTTCCTTTTTCCCTCCCATCCACACTGATCTTAGCCCATCATGAACTTGGCTCTGAAAAGAGCCCCATGTGCTGCCAGCTGGAGCTGCAGCAATCACTCCAGAAAGCCAAGTGCCTTTCTAATAAATAGGGACTTATTATCAACATGTCATTTATTGTGTTAAGTAAACACTACTCTGACTTAAGTGTTGTTATCAAAAGTATTCCCTTAAAGCTTCTTAGGAAAAGCCCTGGTCTGACCTAAACTAAAGAAAGCACAGGCTAGGCATGAATGTTTGACCACTCACGGCATTTAAATATGCATACAGATTTGAGCTCTGGAAATGCCCTCTGTCCTAACCTATTAGAAATATTTCTAAAATGTCAGTAGCTAGGGGGCCCCCCTCCCCTTCACAACTATTGTACAAGGAGAGGGGAAGGGCATTTGTTAGGCACCTCTATTATCTGTCCACTGAGTCACACTTAAAGGCTGTTCTTTCAGTCTCTCTGGCTGAGCTTCCACCAGGTGAGAAGCCAGTAAGTGGGATCAAGCCTCCTGCCCCCTCTGAGGATCTGCCTTAGCTGACTGAGTAGTCCTCAATTAACCAAAGGAAATGACAATCCATCAGAACAAAGGCATGTGTGTTATGAGCCTGAAAAGTCACTGTGGAAGCCTCAAAAGACACCACCTTTGAGTAGAATATTTTGATTCCCTCTCTGTGAGACCTGTAGCAACAGGGACCTGCAGTGGCATTTGGTATTTCCACTCCAATTGGAGTAGCCTTTGACTCTTCTTTCAAAGTATCTTATTACAAAAAAAAAATGAGATTAATTAAGTCTTCTCACTTGAGAGAAACCCTTGTCCTTGTCACTGAGTTTTGCCTTATTCAAGAACTGCTTGCTCCTCACTGGAAATTCAGACCCAAATCCCCCAGGATTGGGTGGTGTACTATTCTAAGCCTTGGTAGGTCACCTCCCTAATGGCCCTCTCAGGGAGACATTGGAACTTTGGATGGGGTCCACAAACTCTGGAGAATGGGTGGAGGAACACATGCCTCTTTAGCTACAAAGTGCTTTTCTGAATCTGGGGCAGCTGGAGTGTTCCATGGAATACTTGGCTATTGTGCAACCATCTTCCTCTTAGATTAGGGTCATGCCTCTGGCAGCAACAGAGCCAGTAGACATTTTAGCACCAGATCTTTGGCAATGAGGGTTTGCTAACGATCTGGTGCTAAAATGAGATCTCTAGTATGTCCCTCATCTTAACACAGTATTTCTTTTTCCAGTTAATAATTATTTAAGTATTATTTGCTCTTAAAATACACAGTGCATTTTTAGAGGCAAATGGAATAGGTGTAGTTAAGAGACAAGTAAAAAGCAAACTAATGAAAAAGGAAGAAAGGTATTTTCATGTTGTCCCTTATTGGACACTCCTATTTCCTGGAGAAGCCATGTATAATAATAATGAAAAGTTATACTTCAATTTCTGAATAAATATTTATTTACCTATTAGTTTTGATTTTAGCTTCTGCAGATGTTTATTTTCCATTACTGGCATGGAACAAAATGAAGACCAAGCATAGCAACAGAAACATATGCTTAGGTCCAGAACTGTTCAATAGTTTTTTAAAATCCTATTTTCCACTTAGTGATCAACAGTACACACCACAAAAACTATTCCTCTTTCTGTCATGGATAAAATTATGCTTGGTTACGGGACCTGGACATATTCCAGTTAATACAATTAAAGAATCAAGCTGCAAAGAAGTTATATGATTGAATATCTTAATCATGGCTATTCTCTAAAGGAGGATTTTCTATTGAAAATATTTTAATAGTAAATGTGCAAGAAAAGTTAGAGAGCTTACTGTTTTTGAGTCAAAGGTAATTTCAGTGCCCTGTTTTGAAAATGTATATTTACTAATATCTCTGGCATTGTTAAATGAGCTGTGAACATCATTTACTTGATGGACTCTTTTGATTTACTTATTCCAATTTTTAATCCATTTATTTGTTTTCTTCATTACAGAATGTTTCTCCAGCCCAAGCTACTTGAGAATATTTTTCATCATTTTCATAGTTACATTCCTGATCGGGTTGCTTAAAGTCCTTATCATTAGACAAGTGATACTGCAATGGAATAGCAATAAAACGAAGTCCTCATCAGATTACAGAGTGTCAGCCTCAAAAAAGGTCAGTGAATGCTAAAAAAAAAAAAAGAAAGAAAAAAAAAATGCTCACAGTATGTTAATGCGTAGTTAAAATATTTAGGCTCATAATTAATAATATTTCTTCTCCATTAAGGATAAGTTGATCCTGCAAGGTGTCTGCACAAGAGCAGTAACCTACCGACGTGAGAAGCCTGAAGAAATAAAAATGGATATGAGCAAATTAAATGCTCATGAAACTTTCAGGTGCAACTTCTAAAAAACAATTTTTAAATACTTAACGGGAAACTGGAATTTTTAATAATTGCTCCTAAAGATTATAATTCTAAAAGTCACAGGAGGAGACAAATTGCTCACGGTCACGCCAGTTGCTGGTTGTACACTCGAACAAAGACTGATAAGCATCCTCATCATCGTGTGACTCACATGGCTGCTGAGTTTTTCAGAGAAATATGTGTCTTACTACTGTTGGAGACTAGTGTCATAGTAGCACTTTACTGTAACATATAACTTATTTAGATCAGCATAGAATGTAGATCATCTGAAGAGCACTGATTACACTTTACAGGTACCTGCTGTCCTATACTTCCCAGAGAGACCTGCTGTGAGAGAGTTTAGCATTGTGTCACTACAAAGGTACAGTAATCCCTGCACTGCACACGTGAGGGAAAAATAATCTGGCAAGTATATTCTAAGGTTGCCAAACACTTCAACAGTTGGTGGTTGAATAGACAAGAACAGCTAGATGAATAAATAATTCATGTTTCACTCTTTCAAATGGTGAACAGATAAAACCTTAATCTTAAGAGATTACTGCTTTTTAAAGTGTGTAGTTTTAGGCATGTGTGTTTATGGTTTGCTTCTTTTTACAAGATAGATACTAATTCCAGCATTCTCTCCTCTTTGCCTTTGTTTTGTTTTTCCTCCTTACAGGATAAGTTTATATATGTCAGAGATGACTGGATTAATTAAGTGCTAAGTTACTACTGTCATAAAAAACTAATAATACAATGTCACTTTATTAGAATACTGGTTTTAAAAGCTGAATGTTAATAGGGAACATATTAAGTATCATCAAAACCTGAATAGCTTCATTGTGCACAGGTGTGGAGTTTTGTATCCTCTTACCTGGTAAACTGAAGGGATTGGCCATTGCATTTGTCTGATCATTCATTCACAAGATATTTAGAAACTCTGCCTCAAGCAAAGTACCACATTTTGAATGTTTTCTTGGATTTTGACTCAAGCAGATATCACCATTTTCAAATATAAAGCTATGTTATCTTTTCCCTTCAATGCAGCCTAAGGATGTTCTTTTCCTGAATCACTCCAACCCTTCTTGCCAGAATTTATAAAAAAAAAAAAACCCAAAATTGGAGAACAGATGGTATCTTAGAAATAAGCTATTTTTTTCTTTTTTCTTTTTGAGACAAGAGTTTCACTCTTGTCACCCCAGCTGGAGTGCAATGGCTCAGTTTGGGCTCACTGCTACCTCTGCCTCCAGGTTCAAGCTATTCTCCTGCGTCAGCCTCCTGAGTAGCTGGGATTATAGGCACCCGCTGGCATGCCCAGTGAATTTTTGTATTTTTAGTAGAGACATGGTTTTGCCATGCTAGCCAGGCTGATTTCAAACTCCTGATATCCAGTGATCCATCTGCCTTGGTCTCCCTAAGTGCTGGGATTACAGATGTGAGCCACCATGCCCGGCCGCTAATTCTCCTTTTTAGTGAGCTAGGGAACTGAGCCTCAGAAAACTTAAATGATTTCTAAAAAAACACTCAAGTGATAAAGTGGCCACAATAGAGAGGAGTTTCCGTCTTCTCATTGCCAGGCCAGTGTTCATTGCACAATATCATGCTACCTCTTGAATCTTTAAAATATTTAATTGGCAAATGTTTTCCAATGTGATTTACTCGAGTCTTACGTGTTTGAAAAAAGTTCAAAGCAAAAGAGAAAGAATAATTCAGCTTGCAGTCTTTCATGCTAATCAGCTTCTGAAGAGACCGAAGCATAGCATACGTACAGGCGAATTCCCTCGCACCAAAGCCTGCATGAACAGTGTTCCCTGGAGTTCTCCAGTGCTCAGCTTGAGACCTTGACACATGCGCTATGAGCCCTGTCTTCCCCAGTGGAAATTTCTTTAGACTTACCTTATCCCTATGGACTTAGTCTGACTTTACTGGCTAGCAGTCTAACAGTTCTGTGTGGAGTACACAGTTTTGCCCATGACAACAAAGGACTCTATTTGAAATCTTTTTATAATTAACTTCTATGATTTGCTGTCTTCCAGCACTTTAAGGTACCAGATATTTGCATTTTGATGAAGACTAACCCATCCTATATTCTACCCTAAAGAGAACTGAAAAACCTATAATAAGTTGTTCAGCAGCTCCACTGGATGTCCTCTACAGCCAAGCAATTATAATGCTAATTTGAACTGTATTTCCTTCCTCAAATGGGAGGCTGACATAATTCAGTACTATGAGTCACTTGCATAAGAAACCTTTGATCACTAAAAATAATGTAAAAATTGCATTTAGTAGCCTAATACACATAACATTCTTTTTAAAAAGGAAAATGGATGGATGCCTTACAACCCTCTGAAAGAAAAAGTGTAAGATAGCCATTAAGTTGACGATGTTTGAAAGGAACATGATGTGTGTGAACAATAAACAAATTTCTGTATGTAATGAATTATCCAAAAGTTTTACAAAATGAAATCCTTAAAAATCAAGGGTTTATATATGTTTTACACCCTAACTACTTTGTACTAACTTTATAATGGACTAAGGCTGTAACCATAGGAAGGGACAAACTTCCTTGTAGGCAACTCAGTGTTAGATGATCGTGGTTATGCTTGCGAAGTCTTGTGCTTACTTTTTTTAAAAAAAAAAAAACTTAAAAAGCTAATTTTTAAAGATTGTAGGGCTTATGTTTTACTTGAATAATTGATAATTTCCTGTGTAATGCTTTGTGGGATGAGAAAAGTTGACTAGTTAGAATTAATTAAATGCTAAGGGAACACAGGGTATTCTTAAGTTAATTTATGTAAATAGACTCTGTTTTCAACTAATATGGCCACAGGAGCCTTTTGAGATTCATTTATATTAAACACAATTAATGAAATTTTACATTGTTAACAGAATTGAGAACTTGAACAACACTTTTAGTACAGCAGCATTTTTGTGCCCTAATGACTTATAAACGTGCCATACATACACTACAACATAACTTTTGCTTTGTCATGCATTTTATTTCTCTGGGGACACCACTGCACTGCAGTGCACATGTATTTATAAACATTTGTTATATTTTTGGAAACTGGGTAATATTTATTAAGTCATAGACTTTTCTGGAAGACTTAAAATTTTCACTAAAATCCGATTATGTCTTAAATGTTCAGTTTAGCTTTGGTTTATAAAAATAACAAAAAAAAAATCTAAGGTTAAAAACAATAGATATGTCTGGAGGCAATTTTTCAAAACTCGAAATTAAAATTTGTGGATTCATGATATGCAATACTTCAAATATGAAATATATTTTTAATATTTACTTAATACCCATTGAAGATATCCTTCCTTATGTAAGACAACAGGCAGCCATCAGACACTGAAATATGTTATGATAGACTATGAAGAATTTTCTCTGTAGAATTATATTCCTCCTGGAACCTGTAAAGTAGATTAGACTCAAAGGCTTTTTCTTCCTTTTCTGACTCCTGCTTTTTCTACTCACTCTTCCCAAGATATTTTCTAAAGCTTCAAGCTTAGTAAACCTAGTAGTGAAAAACAACTGAATTCAATAATTAAGTTCTTCATTTCCAGACATCTTTAATTGATCTTAAAGCTCATTTGAATCTATGCCCCTGAACAAAGACAGACCTATTAAAATCTAAGAATTCTAAATTTTCACAACTGTTTGAGCTTCTTTTCATTTTGAAGGATTTAGAATACATATACTTTCATAAAAGTATCAGGTGAAATACAGTTACATGGGAGCTCAATCATGTGTATATTGTATTCTGTTCTGTTGACTCTCAATAATTAATTTACAACTATCCTCATTTATATTGACCTTAAGAATGCCATTTTATGCAATGCAGACCACTGAGATATATTTTCAAATAAATATAAAGCTAATGTTCTTTCAGATAATTTTCCTTCCCTAATTCCTTTATAGCAAATTTTATGTATAACTGATTATACATATCCATATTTATATTTCAAAGGACATCACTTTTTCACATTAAAATCTCTGCAATTGTGACATCTCGCCATTGTTGGCACTTCAGATGCAGTGTTTTAAATTATGCTTGAATAAATATTACACTAATTCAACTTTAATGTTCACAAGTCTAGGGGAACTTTGTTTTCTTATAAATATTTGAGAGCCCATTTATGATAACATGTGAAGCCAAAATTTCAGGACAGCTAAGTCACGTACAACTCAACATGGAGCCTAACTGATTATCAGCTCAGATCCCGCATATCTTGAGTTTACAAAAGTTCTTTCAGGCCCCCGCTTATACTTTACGAGAGTGCAAATAATTTCAGCAAACCCTAACTTAACCAACCATTAACAAATTTTTATTCTTTTTAATCTATTCTATGAGATCCTTTCATATTATCATCTCATTTTTAAACAAAATTAACTGGAAAGATATTACATGGAACTATGATAATTAGATTTTGCAGCATCTTGTATGTCTTGTATCAATGGCAGAAGAAAATTAAGATAAAACCAATCAGTGCTGTGAAAACCAACTTTCTTCTAGAGTCCCCTTCCTTACTTTTTATTCTTCTCTATCATTTGTGGGTTTTTTTCCTCTCCTTGGCTCTGATCACTTTAACTTCAAGCTTATGTAATGACTGTTATAAAACTGCATATTTAAATTATTTGAACTACATGAAATAATTGTTCAGCTATCTGGGCAGCTGTTAATGTGAGCCTGAGAGTAAGAACACTACTCTTTTATCTACCTGTAATACCTTTCTGCATAAAATTTATCTTCGTGAGCCTAACTCTATTATTCAGGTTTCTTCTAGCCTCTACAGCCTACTTCAGTTAAAATTGTCTGATACAATAATAATTTTTAAAAAAAAAAAAACTGCAATTGTCAAGGATGGAAAATGTGTGATTTGTGTAAAGAATTTTTACAAACTTTACACTTTCCTGCAGATAAATGTGAAATTTTGATAAGACTCCTACACAATGACAAGTATGGTACATAAATTTTATTAAGAATATTGAGTATAAAATACTTTAATTCTAAATTATAAGAAAATAAAAATTTGCTCATGTTAATATAGAAATTCATTTTGTGTACATTTAACATAGCTTTTAAACTATCTTACATTTATTAGCTACTTCATTATGGTTTTTTGAACTTCTGAAAAAAATTAGAATTGTTTTAAGATTATCAGTAATATAAAAACTTATTTTGTTTCACCTAACAACTACTGCATTTGTAAAAGGAAATTCAATACAGAATATATATTTAAATTAAAATATTTGAATATAAAATAGCACTAAGAAATAAGCAAATTATCACTGAATGTATTTCTTGTTATTTCTGGCTTTGAATTTTACCTAACTTAAATTGTCTAAATGATACAGAATATTGGAAAATATGATACTTTTACATAATATATTATGAACCTGTTCATATAACTCTGATTGACCACTAAACTCTGTTTTATGTATTTATTAAATAGCTGACACTGTAGTTTGTTGTGAGATGTTTATTTTTCTAACAGAGCTTATAACAGGACAAGGCATTTAATTAATGCACCATTCTGTTTAAAAGTAGGTGTTAATATGAAATTGTTTTAAAATAAAAATGTAAAAATCTAAAACACAAAATGCTTCTTTATTTCCTGTGTGTTACATCATTCTCAAAGTTCCAGACAACAGTACATTGTACCACAAGGAAATGTAATAGCATCTATACACTGTCACCAGCAAAAAACATTACATAATTCCAAAAAGATACTACTAGAAAATTGTAGGGCCAATGATGAACAAGGGAGGACATCCTAGATGTTCTTTTCTTTTTTGATGGTTATTTGCGGTTGAAGCAGAAAAAATATTCTAATGACAAAAACCTGAAAAAATAGCTAAAAGTTAAAACAGGCACTTTCTACATGCCAGAGCCTTCTACCACCTTAAGTAAAACATATTCATAACCTTCAACTGCACATTCTGAAGAGTCATACTTAAATTAATTGAATTTTATTGACTATCCATGTATTGTGATTTTTCCTTTATTTACCCTACAGGAGAGAATAAAGCAGAATGTGGTAGACATTTAGACTGATCATCTGTTCTTAAGGAGCTTTTAATAGTTTGAAGGAA